AAATATATCCAAGCAGTTATTCTAAAAGTGTGAACTATTTTGTATTTTAGTGGAAGGTGTCGATTGCTGTCAACTCCAGAGCCAACCCATATCAAGTTTTTTCCGAGCTGAGCGACCACTTGCTGATGAGACTTCTTTAAGCAAATTTGGCTAAAGGTACGTTTAAGATTTGGTTTCACTGTTCTTTTCCTTACACCTTTAACTAAATAAATTATATTTCATTTGCTTTGTTTTCTTCTGTTCCAGAAACGTGGTCCCAATTTGATACCAGAGAAGATCAAGTGCATTTACGTTACCATCAATACTATACCATTCTATCCTATTTGTTATTTTATATTGTGGACAATATACTATTAGGAACTAATTTGATCTGTATGATTTATAAGTAACTGCCCTACAGCCTTTCACACCAAGAATATTTTTTAAATTTCAAAAACAAAAAGAGGGAGAAAGGTCGTATTTCAGCAGCTGCTGATTTTTGCCATAATTACCAACGGGTATTTTGAAAGGCATTTTCAGGCAAAGATTGTATGCAATCTTACTATTTTTGACTACCTATGAAGCCACTACCATCAATGCCATGCCTCAACAGCATCCATCAAAGGAAAGAGGGGGGGGGAGCAGCAGAACAAAAGCAATATTGGGGAAAAGGGCCACTATAGCCAGCATTTACTGGATTAGAGGAGACAGGGATCGGTCTGAAATTGTAGAATACACAACTATGGCAGACTGCTAACACCTCACAGAAAACAGAACATCGATATCTGCAACGGTTCAGGAGTTATGGCTCTGTGAAAACGTCCAAAAAGCGCCTGGAGCACGCCTACTGCTACTACCCGGCCTGCGCGGCCTGCGCTGCCCGCCGCCCGAGCGGAGCGATCGCCGGGCGGCGGCGAGCGGCAGGCGAGCCGGGCGTTCGTACCGCGCGCCGCGGCGAGTAGTTAGGCGATCGCGCCACGGGGAGCGCTAGTGCGGCGAAATTGGTACGGCGCGTTAACACGGCTGGTACCCCTCTGGTTATGCGGTTCTCTGTGCCTTGACGGGCTGCCGCGGCGCCGTGCCCCAGGAGCCGCGGCGGGGCGGCGCGCGGTAGCCACATACGGGAGTCGCGACGCGTCCCCCCAGGGCCCCAGACAAACACGCCAGGCACGCAAGGCGCACGCCAGCGCCAGGGTGCCAGCAGCCAACTGTGTGAAGTGAGGCCACCCCGGGCGTACGAGCAGGTGGAGCCGGAAAGTACAGATTTGTCTTAAACACACACACGTCGATACCCGAGTGCGGTACGACGACGACGACGACGACCTTGGTTGCTGGTACCACCGCAGCCACTCTTTGAGTACTTTTGGACTGCGATGCTGTTTGATACCGGAGGTCTCGATCCTTGTGTTTGTTTTTGACGTGTCAGAGTCCCGCCGGCCCGGCTGGTCCGGTGCGGGAGGTGCGCGCGGCTGGAGTGGGCCAAGGACTGGTCCGGCCGGGCCTTGTTGACCGCGCCGCGCGCTATCGGTACTTCCCCCTCCAATGTCCACCAATTAGCATGCCACGCGCTAGCTCGCCGCGCCCCACCTCACATTCTGTTGCGTGTTTTTTTGGCGAGTGATCCTGCTGCACCACCACCCCGCGCCGTGCGGCCGTCGGGCATGGGAGGAGGGGGGCACAAAGGACCTCTTTGTGGAGGATGTCACTTCATGCAGCGGGGCGTGGCGTCGTGGGCGCGCGAGATCCGCCGACCCAAGGCCCCGCGCCGCCGTTCGGTAACCAGTCGCAACTGGAGCATCCTCTAGATAGAATTGGCGTGGCGGGGACATTGTGAACCCGGGG